AAAATATGGTAAGCCCATGCGTAAGTTTTTGGGCGTTTTTATTTTTATTCTATTTTAGTTTTCCATATTTTGGGGGCGTTTTTACTGGAAAAATTATTCCACTCGCGCTTGTTGGATATGAGATGATAGATAGCCAACTCGGGGCTACGCTCTACGCGCGCACTACGCGCGCGCATCTCAAATCCAACGCGCGCGTGTGGAATAATAAGTATTTTCAGGCTGTTTTCCCGATTTTTCTACGTTGCGTATAATTGTACGTGTCTATATTGCGATGCTGTTTGGTGTTCTTTCAGGCAGCAGGTATTTGTAAGGTACTTCCAGGTCTTTATTTCGCTCTTTTATTGCCATGGAAATTTCGTTGAGCTTTCCTTGGAAACGTAGAATGGCTTCGAGAGCTGGTGCATCGTGGAATAACCCATCTGAGTAATCGCCCAGAAATCGCTGTGGGAAAAAAAAATGCAACATTAAACGAGTGAATTACATAAGTATTAATGTATACAATATTATTAGCCTGGGAACTTACTCCTTTGACTGGCCACATTATGGAGATAAGTGTTGATAACAAGTCGTTGACCGATCAGTCAAGTAGTTCAATACTTGTCACCTAAGTCAGCTATTTAGAACACTAGTATGTCAAAACATAATAAGGTGTGACTGACCCATAATTGTCCTTTTATATGATTTAACAAATTGACGTCAGTTTTTCATGCGTCTGTTCCGTTTTTGATCATGAATTTCGTCATAACATTGTCAAAGAAGCTATGGATCCACGGGCGATAGCCGAGTGGATCCGCAGACTATTTTGACAATATTGTCATACAGTCGGCTCTCGCTTGTTGCGTGAACATCGCATAAATTGTAAATTCATGTGTCTGTCCGCTTATTGGCAATGAAAATTAGCCAATGAGCGTGCGAGAATTTCTGTAGTTATCGTAAAATATCTTATTTTTGTGTTTCAGTTGTCCTACCAATTCCACCAGTCATATTGTTAGTTAACCAGGTAGACGTACATTAATACGACCAGATGAGTAGGGAGACAAACCTACTGGACAGTCGGTTAGCCACTAAATTATCCAGTTCGGATTCTTAATAATTTACGTTCTTTTTACAATATTTTTTTCATTATTTATAGTGTCACCAATTAGCACAACAGTGCTTAATACACTTGACACTAAGTTATTATTTTTTTTCATAGATCTTTGTACACATTTTTGAATATATCTTAAACAAGTTTTACAACCTGGCTATGATTCTCTCTACTATTCTATCAAATATGTTACAATGACGTTCAATTCACCTCATCCGGAAAGATGCGAGTCAAATCATACACCGTTGCTATAGTAACTCCAGCCTGGTGCTTGGTCGGCAGACACTTCATGACGTCTTTCATGGTCACAGAGTCCTTCTTGGTGGGCGGCGACTGTCGCATGAGGGCCGGAGAATTTGGCGGGAAACCGAATGTATCCATCTGAGAGAAGTTAACCGCTGCATGCTGACAGGCGCACGTAAAGATGATGATGGTCAGCAGGTGGGTAAGTTGTTCAATGCTCGCAACTGATGACGGGAAGCCGTGATCTGTCTCTCCTTCACGGACTGGATAGCCATTGTCGTGAAGATCCAGGATCCACGCCTGCAGCTCTGTATCCTGTATATGATTAAAAAAAGGCATGTAAGTTATTGACAAGGAATAAAGGGAGAACAACAAAAACAACAACAACAACAACAACAACTTTTATTTCGCCCCAGAATAATCTATTACAATATTATGAATTCAAAACAAAAATGATAGGGGTGCTGGCTACCCGAAATAACGTAGGAGTTCAAAATGCCAGGCAGCTAGTTAAAAGAAAAGATGTTTACATGTGTAGGTCAGGGACACAAACAAACAAACAAACATAGACACACACATAATGATAGAAATAAAAAAAGTTAAACTAATCATTACCAGTAGACTAGAGTGCTTACATCACAAAACAGCAAAAGAGATGTACAGATATCTGATAATCCTTAATAGAGTGGTGGGTAAGGATTTACAGGAAGTGAAAACGAGCACTGCACTTTACTTACGCTTTGAACTTTTTCGTCAGAATGATAGTAAATGGCCAGAATGTCTGTGATGTATTCTCCGATAGCCTGCCACAGTTTAATGGCGTCGTCGCGATAGTGGAAGCCTGGCAGTTTCTTTGCATCATGAACCCCTCTTTCCTCAAGCACTTTTGGAAGGTCATACGATGACCAACTCATATTCTTGTAGTACTTCTTCATGAGTACAATGTGACCTGCGAATGAAGGTGATAGAATTGTGGTACATGAAATACTTGGAGCTTTTGCGTTAACAAAGCCTCGTACTCAAGCGGAGTGAGGCGTGCCTATAGACACCTAGATACGCGCCTTTGGTACTCTAACCTTTAAAATCGGTAAATGATGCTGGAACATGCAATTAATGCGCTAAAGTTACCTCGCGTTTCAGTTCGATAGCTTTCAACATCCCATTTTTACAGATCGGATGTTAGTGCACTATACATAGTCTATTTTTCAACAGAAAATCTACGAGTGAGAAGCGATTGCGTCAAAAGCTGACGTTTTACCTCCGCCTCCGAGGCTAAGTGTGTTGTCTGCCACGCCCCCAGCAGGAATCAATCGTTCTCTTCCAAGAGTGTTGATGGCCATAACTCCCCGCACGTGAGGTGACAATAATTTCCACAGAGGGTGGAGGGAGGGTAGCTGTCTTCTGCAGGCAAGAGCGATTGGCTCCATAAACAGATGAGTACGAAGAAGATGCGTGATCATCTGTTGTTACAAAAGAAACATACAATTTCAGTAAATTTCTTCTTGACCGATAACCCTAATACCAATTTTAAGAATGGGAATGGAAGTCTTTTTCTAGGTTTTCTGTTTTATCCTTCTTCACAACTAAATTGTTAAAACTGCTCGGTACCGTGGCTTCACATGGATCAATAAAACTTTCTCATTTAGTTTATTCCTTTATTCATTCCCTGTTGCCACGCTTCCTCCAGTAGTGTCACTGCCAGCTCGGCCGTAGAAACACACACAGTCTCCCGCTTTACTCTGACCAAGGACTAATGCACGAAATGTCAGATTTACAAGCTCGCTACGGGTGTTAATTCATCTTTCCTTATCAACGTGGCCCGGCCAATTACTACCAGGTGCCATGGCAAAAAGCAAATAGGACTTTATTGACTTCAAGTTGATGAATAGCAAAGTGTTCCACCGGGAATCTGTTAGCCACTGATAGGACCTGGGGATACTCCCCATAAACGCCTCTACGGGGAGGCTTCGCCTGAAAGGGGCACCGTTTTCAGGCGTCACGTATATACAAGGGTAGAGATTTCACAAGTTGAGGTATATGAAACAGAAAGGATAGGCAAATCTGTCATATTCTTATTTTAAAGGGCTTCTAATTAAAATCTTTCGAACAGACAGATAATAAAAATGGCTATATCATTTCATTTATCAGGCACTACATGAAAATGACAAAATGACTTCCTTTTTTGGCGATGTATTCCCATTACAGGCCAGTTATGAAAGTATTTGAAAGAGGTACCCTTTTTTTCAATTAACAGTGTACGAAAGGAGTACCTGTCAAAATGGTATACAAATGGGCAAGGCCGTATAAAACTTTGCAAAGTACCTCCCCCCCCCGGCTCAACCTGAATGATAAGAGGTCTCGTGTACTTACCTGATGCCACTGCGTGTCCGCATTACGAAGCCACATCTTGGCGTACGTCCAGTCTAGTTCAGAGTCATTCGGGGTCCATATCGGATTGGTGTCACTCGGTACTTGATGAAACTGAATAGCTATGGGTACTATATCTCCACTGCCCTTGACGTAGAACAAGCCCAATCCTGCGCATGTGTAGCGCCTCTCCAACTTCTTGTCATTTTGACCATAGTGTGGAATGTCGTCAAGAATTTCGTAATCAACCATGTACACACGGCCATCCTGATGAAACAAATACCTCTTACTAACCTCATCTTCTCGGTCCATAAAGCAAGTTACTAACCGAGGGGGAAAACGAGGTTAAAACGGTATCTGTTATATCTCTACCTCGTGTCTGACAGGTTCGGGAAACGATTTCATGTTACGCTTCAAAAGACTGGCGTACATCGGAAGTAAAACTAGTCAATTGGAAATCGTTGTTAATTGGATGGCACGTTTTAATACACAAGTTCTATTTGCAATGGACGTTAAGGAAACGTGGCGATAAATCAAGAGACATATTGGAAACAAAAACATCTTTAAATGTTAGCGGGCCGTAGAGCATAATACCGCCCGCTAAATTGACCAATCACAGCGCGCGTAGTAACCGAGAGATATGATAATGAAATTTTAACCAATTCTATTTTGGAATATTGTCTTTACTACTAATACTCTTGCGAACGTCGAATAGCTATGACCCTCCTGCTTTTGGAAGTGTCAGGGATTTCCACAATACCGCTAGGTATTCGTGTGTGCAACAATTAAAGATGAATTGCCTTAGAGGCTCTCCTGACAATACCTTTATTGCGTTCTCGAGCGTATCACCCTCATCTAGAAGGTTGCCGACCAGCTCCTGTGTGACGGGGAAGTTGGAAGGCAGCTTCGTGCATCGTTTCATCGTGTCAGGGTTACAGCCATTCAAGAAATGCGATCCATAGAAACGGTCATCCTGCCAGTGATTAGACGCCACTGGAACATCACCAACGAACGACACAAATGCCTGCATCAGAATTGTGAGTTAATTCTAAAACATAATTTGATGTTCTAATTCAGCCGGCAAGTATAGCTTATCATATTTAGATTAACATAGCTTCATATAAATTTCAGCCAGTGGTAAAAAGGAATTGATTATAAGCAATTTATTCCATATCGCTATCTAACCAGAAATATATCACTTACTGCAAAACGTTGTTTTAATGCTTGGTCACTTTTAAGGTTAGTTGTGGCAGTAGTACTCGATTGATTCATCTATCTCGTCTACATTTCCTTAGTCAGATTATGCTTATCAGTCATCGAACGTAAATAGCTTAGAGACTCCATTCAGACTCTCAACTTTTAGACGTTTAGACCCTCGCTTTCTTGAATGAAGGGTCAGGTGATAACCCCAGCTTATGCGCGTTAGTCTTAATATTTACTCGGAAAAGTTTAATTGTATTAGTTATATGATTTAGTTCACAACTGATTCATGCTTTTTAGCGAGCATCATCCACATATGACGCAAGCGGAAAGTTTGGAGAGCACAAAAGGAGCGTAAGAGCTGCTCATATAAAAAGGACGGGGGGGGGGTGCTCGTCATACCTTTTAGGAGTTAAAAAAGCTGTTTTGGTATCTCGTAGGGTGTTCAGCCTCAAAAGGTCGACGGCGGGAGCTTTTGCTGTACCTTTTAGGGTATTGAGCAGAAAAAATATGACAGGAGATAATCTGTTATGTAAGAATCGATTCCTCTTAGGGGAGAAAGGAAATTCAAGCCACGCCCACAAATCAGGATCTTGGTACCTCTTAGGGGCTCTTTTCAAAATTTCCGACGCCCCCGCCCTTTTTATTTCAGAGTGCCCCCCGAGCCTTCGCTAGGTATGTTATAATATTCTTTATTAAAAACTGCATATTGGATAATTCAATTTAAGAGTTTTCTTTGGTATCATGATATACTAGCAATTATACCACCCAGAACATCAAACCTTTACCGGTTCTCTCACCGAGTGCATGGCATTGACCGAACCGCTCGTTGCCAACTATGAGAAGTGAACTCTACGAGTATCGTGAAATTACCTTTTTGTAATCATTGAAGTCTTCCCAGGAGTCAAACATATTCAGTAGTTTTACCATTCCAAGGTTGACCAGTGCTTTACGTTTGGCTGTATAAAGGTCATCGATTGCTTCTTCTGTAAAGCGTATGTCTTTAGGAAGCGTCTTGACGCTTTCAGACTTGATAAATCCTGGTAGTCCCATAAAATTAGGATCGTCTCCCCATTTGTAAATCTCTTTCCTCTGTTGGATCTCCACGACTCGTTGCTTCTTCACAGCTTCGGGCTGATCATCTGTGATCAGTTTGGCTACAATATAATATAACAATAAAAACCTGGTGAACAAGGCAACTATAAAAGAATAGCAACAAAATAGAAAAGAAAGACAAAGAGATCTTTGTGCCACTGACTGGGTTTCTGACTTAAAGTAAATTGAATAGGTTGTGGCTTTCATACTAGGATTATTTGTTACTTGTGTGTTTGTTTTCACGAGGAACATGTATTTTCTTTCTTCGTGTTGTATTTGTGGGTTCCGCCCCCAATATGAATTTTGTACAGAGATTTTTCTTTGTTAATCGCTGTTGTTTCCTCGTATTATCCTGCATTTCATAGTAATTACCTTTAGTTATTCCCATAACATGTTCATAGTACATATTTTAGTTATGTAATTATTTTTAGTTTACGAGAATCATCGACGTTGGCATGAAATAAACAATCGATCAGTACTAGTGATTGGGACTTTCATTGCCTCCAGTGTTGGTTTTTATGTAAAATATGTCCATCCGAGCCTCGATACTTTGCTGATTTATCTCGATTGTCGTAGCTTCAGCCACATGAACTGTTAGGACAATTCACCGCCAAGATTAAATCAGACACAACTTCAAAATCTGACGATTTTCTTGTGACAAAGACAAACAGCAAGTGTCTACTGAGCTACAACAAATGTACAGCCCTGGAGTTATTGGATGTATTGGATGTCTAATCAACGCCAACACCCTCGAATACACCTCTCTGTTTGAAGATACAGATGACCTAAAAATGGCTTTATGGGCCCGAAAAGGCTCCGGGGCTTTCGAGAGACGGGCCTCTGGTCGGGGTCAAGGCGTTGTGTTTCTGGGAAAGGCACTTAACTCTCACGGTACTTCGATCCACGGAGGTGTATAAATGGGCGCTGGCGTTTTAATGCTGGGTGTGGGCGGTAACCCTGCGATGGACTAGCATCCCATCCAGGGAGGAGTAGAAATACTCCTAATCGCATACTACAGAACCGGGACAATCTCCGGCTGTATGCATGGGACTGATCCTTTTTAACTCTATTCATAGCTTTTTGGTGATAATCTTTTAAGGACCCTTTAAGCGAAAAACTCAAATAGGTGACTGCCATAGACCTTTTCATAGCACTTTCCTACCTTTTCCTTCAAAGAAAACAGCTTCTTGCTTCACCCAGCCGTAGCAAGGAAATTCATACATTACTTGATTGTCCGAAGTGCAGCTTATCACGACTTTGTCTACGAACCAGTCACTGGAGCGATGAAACAAGCCACCTTGGTCATTCTCCAACTTTATCATCAGAGGTTCACCCACATCCACTTCCTCGATGACATATGTATCTTCCTGGCCTTTCTCAAAATTGTTGTGAAACCATTTGTCCAAGACGACTGGCTTGGTTCGTGCCTTGGTCCCTAGAAAAAGAGTAAACGACTTCCATCACATTAAAATAGTTATTCAGTGTACGAACAATAAACAAGGAAAGTATACATGTATACATCGTTCTTTAAGCGTGAGCAACAATATGGCGTGTTTAAAGCGAAAGAAAATATCGATCGAGGGATACTGCAGCAACAACCAAGGAAAATATCTGAAATATGCATGTATACGACAATATTTTCAAAACCTCGGTCACAGTTTTCCGCTTTACGGACCTTCCATTCGCAAAGTGGAAAATGACGCAAATGACGCAAATGACGCTTTAATAGCACAAGAAAATATCAACGCAAATATACATTTATACCTCGTTCTTTAAAAACGTGAGCGACACCTGTTTTACTGAAAGAAAATATCACCGCGAGGCTATTGCTGCAACTGGTTTTTTAAATGACGCCGAAAAACAAAACAAAACATCAACTGGGGGCTAGTGCCAAAATCAGATTACAATATTTATATTTGGGGACGAAGCCACATCAATCTTAGCTGGCTTTCATGCAGGTCCTTTGACCTGGTCGAATTGGATTTTTGACATGTTGTTCGGTTGTGGAGGAAACTAGAGAACCCTGAGAAAAACCCTCCGAGAGAGGCGAGAACCACCAACAAACTCAACCTACATCAGTGGCACCGGGCTGGATTGGAACCCAGGCCACATTGGTGGGAGGCTAGCGCTCTCACCACTGTGCCATCTATACTCCCGTCTTTGAGCGTGATTGACCAAATCAAGCGTTTAAAACGAAAGGAAATATCACATCGAGGTAACAACAAATCGCTGCTGTAATTATGTATCGATGGTAGTTTAACGTTTGGTTCGTGGGGTCGAGGATTTCCGCTTTCGGTTCTAATGTGATTGCGAAGTCAATAAACGGATTGTTGATTTCAGATTTCTTCGTAGATAGGAACTTATTTAGCTGACCGAAATTTTGAAAAGAAATCCTCTACAACGAGCATATCAATTTAAGAGCTAATTCTGTCGGTCAACTTTTGTGATATTTGGCGGCTCCTAAAGGAGCCTTTTTGATTTTCTAAACAAGGTTTGAAGAGAGTTTTAAGGACGTTCGGGCTAATTGTCTCTACGCATCTTTACTGCGCACGCAAATTCACTCGGCACGTCATGCATGAGAGCGCGCGCTAAGTAATAGAATGAACAATGATAGGGCACATGACCATTGCTATAGCTTTGCCTGGATTTAACGATCTTGAACATTCGGTGACCCCTACTTTTCTTTCCAGAAACAGATTTTATTTACAATTATCTTCACATTGTCCAAAAATGAACAAAAAAATCAATGTGGGAAGTTAAGAAAAATTTTAAGATTTCTGTCCACGGGACATCGAATCCTGTCATCTTGTGGCTGCAAGGCGCGTGAAACTATGGTCGCTAAATGTGAACTTGTTCTTTAAGGAACCTCATCAGCTGTCTAAATTCACTTAATAAGTCCATTTAAACAATATTTGGCAGAGAACATTTCACTTCAGAGATCTAATTGCAACATTTTTAGGCTTACAGACACTTTGGCCTTATTCGCTAACGAAGCCCGATTTTTTCAGACTTAGGGTGTTCTTCCGGGCGTGTTCTCTCCAAAACGAAGTCGCTGATCCCCCATTTTTTTTACATTTCTGACATAACTAACTCATCATCTTACAGTGGTAAAAGTCTCAGAAAAATAATCAATGTTGGAAAATTTTCACGCGAACGTCCTTAAAGAATCCCCAATTAATTAATTCAGTAGTGAACTCATGTCGACTCACTTCACATCATTATGACGCCCACGCCTTGGGGTTGGGGTTATACTCGTTCTGTTTGCACTTCCTGGTCAACAAACCGAAAGTGCTCACTTTCTTAGGTAAGAAGTTTATTAGAAAAAGTCATTTATCTCACCCGTTATCGTTAAAGACACGCTGGCATCGGTCCCAGCTCCTTTTCGGTTACCAGTTCGAACCCGGATGCAATAGCTGACGTCGGATGTGGCTTGTTCTTTAATCTCCTTCGCTCGCGGCTTGCTTGAGCTCATCATACGTGAGGTGGGATAAACTTTAGACCGCAAGTAGGGGATTGAACTGTAGTCGTAGATTGTCTCTGCGGAGGGGAAATCAACTGAAGGAGGGCGGTGATCCATTGAACAACGAGTAAGTTCTACTATGTTAACATCTAACAATGACGTTACAGTGACGTCAGCGAGGTCCAACCATGGATGACTCTTTTCATCCCAGGCCCTGGCAGCGTGAAGAATGAGGTGGGAATCCTCTGGTTTTATCTCATGCAGTTGTATCTGAAGCTTGTATTTAATGGCACCTCGGGATATCTGCTCCTTGAATTCAGGAATCAAGTAACTTTGGGGTCGCTCATCTTCTTCCCACCGAGCATTTGCCCTAAAAGAATGAACGTTTATTCAGTCATACTGATTTTACTTCCTTTTCACGGGGGCTTTTGAATCCCTTGGTTGACTCAACACTCAATAGCTGCACCATATTGTCAGGATAGGAAGAAAAACGCCAAAAGTCGATTATGTTGATCGCGTGTCATCTTCCGAAAAGACATTGTGGCAGCTACTTACTAGAATTTATACGTAACAGAATAGTTTTGGTGTCCCACGAGAAAGAGGTTGTTTCATCGTTCCGTAACTGGACACAGTTTTAAATATTCACCTCTCAGTATTCTTGATTTTACAAGAACGAGAGACAGCAGGAAAAGAACAACACGGTACCCTAAGATGATCGAAACTCTGCCAAAGGATTGTCCCGTAGATGGGCACCACCCGGCCGTGAGCGGACACTTTGTCAAGGTGTTATCCATCAAGAAACACCGCATTTAATTTTAACCTTCCAGTACAGGCAACTCTCTTATGGAAACACTAACTTTTTCTGGTCCCAGAGAGTGTCTGCTTGAAGTGGGGGAGGAGGTGGGGGGGCGGGGGAAGGTGGTTCGAGCGTTTCTCTCAGTGCCCAGGGTATGCATGTATAAATTAAGGTTATGTTTATTTTACGTAATGATCCAATTTGCTTGATCACCTGACTAGTCTCCAGACTTCTCACGAGAGGTCCATTGATTGGGTGACAGTTGGGGGAGTCTGGATGAAACTATTTAATGGACCCTTGAGACGGCTGAGGACGACTCAGCTTGAGCTCTATAATCCTCAGCCTGCGCGCAAGCGCAGCAAGGACAATGCGACGGCTGCAGGCAAGGTATACAAGGATGCGATGCCGACCCATCTTATCAGTGCAAAACCAGAATATGCAAAGTGCTGGATGATTTACTCACATGACAACATAACGCAATAACTAATTTACAGAACTAACCATGGTTTCCTTTGGTCATATTCTGTCAGCAGGCCGCTTTCTTCCCTGCCGTCCGCGGGAACGAGGCGAAATTTGGCGTAACGGGAAACACCGTCTTTTGCTTTGTATTCAAACGCCATCCACGAGTAGTACCGCTGGTCAGTAAAGGATTTAGGGGCTCGGCGAAAAACAGCTATGGATAGGTGGAAGCTATGATGAAACGGAGGAGAGCATTAACACAAATATTTGAGATTGTTTTGGCGATTTTGTTTCTTGACTTGGAAGTCTAATAAAGCATATGCATGGTGTTTCAGCTTTTGAAAGCTTTCCTTCAGTGGTAACTGGAAACAAATACAACAAATACTCCAGATGGGTGAAAAATTATCTGAATATGAAATGTCACGAATTGACTATTTTAGATAACTTGTAACTTTTCCGGGGTTATTTCTATAAACAAGATATATAAGTATATTAAGGCGCTAAAGGGCATGGTTTTTGAGCCGTTTTGGTGTGAGATAGTGTTAAAATGTTCAGCATTTTAGTTGGATACTCTGTGATACTCTGACCTGGAATTGAGTGTGTTGTTCAGATGATACTATTTTCTCCCCGTTAAAATCGAGAAATTTGAAACGCTTCTAAAAACAGTATGCGCCAATTGAAGCCATTCCTGGTTAGCTAAGGTCATGTATTAGAGAAGTGTACAAGCTAATTTCAGTGTTCTGAAATAGCGTATTGATTTTCGGGTCAGGTCTGAAATGGGGTATCGATAGTTACATAATTATTTTAGACTAGACTTAGCTAGTTTACAGGTGCGCCAAGAAAACAAAATTACAAAGAAAAAAATGTATATGCAATTGATTATTAATATTAAACCAAATTACCTAAGAATATATTACTACTATAAAATATCTAAGAATGTATATAAGAATGTAAAAAAAATGTAAATTTTATTTTAGCTTGAAAGAATCTGAAACGGGGTAAGGTTTTCAAGAAACGCGCCGCAAACGTTCTCTAATGCCTTCGGGAAGTACTGCCCGGTAACTCCATGTATACTGATTACTATCCTTAGACAAGGAACGAACTTACGAACTTACTTCCAAGGGTCTTCGAGACAGAAAGCTTTAAAAGTTTTGGGGCCTCCCGCTAAAGCTGTCAACATCTTATCAAAACTATAGATGTTCCAAAACGCAGCTTCTTCACCCGTATGCATCATCAAATCAAACGGCGAATCGAAATCGCTGTCGGCAAACTTCAAAGAGACCGCTCTTACGTCCAACTGAGAGTCATCGGACCGGACCAGATTAGAGTGGCGGAGACGGAGTGGGAACACGTGACCTACAGTGAAGAATTCGTGCTCCGGGAGGAGAGGGTTGTCGAGGACTGTTGCAGTTCCTACGGCCCCCACACCTCTAGCGTGGGTCCCGCGTTGACGAGTCACGAGCGATTTTAAAGCGAAACGGTTTTTATACTTTTTGACGTAGCGGGCCATCTGTGCAGCACTGAGAGGACCAGCTTTGGGTGGAGGCTAAAACAAACAAATATGATGAGAAATTAATGTAACGTCAATTGCTCAAAGAGTTCTAAAGTGAGGAAACGTCAAGTTGTTTCCATTACCGCCCATTAAGAGACCACCTAAAATTTGACAAAGCTAACAAAGTTTGAACCAAGATGAGAGTTTCTTTGTATATTTTAAACATGCTTCAGTCCTTTGCGGCTGTTATTTTTCAGCATTACCTTCAAGCAATTTGACGTCATTATGACTCGCACATTATCTCACTAGATTCTTTTAACACTTAGGGTGGCATGGACGGGTAGGAAGGTTCTTTGTGGAGTTCCGCCGTCCGCTCTCCAACAGGTCAATTGCAGCCCGTCCTCTCCACAGGTGTGGAGCTCGTCCTTTCTACAAGACCTAAAGTTCGTCCGTTCTCCGAGAAGCAGGTTAGAAATTGTCCACTTCCTTAGTGGCCAGTTAGAGTTATACTACTCACCCACCCGTTTTGAGGGGGCGAGGATCAGACAAACCAGGCAAGAAGAGGGGAAGCATTCGCCTCACAATGCTCAAAAACTGATTTCGTTAAGATCTTCAGATACAGTCGTGTAGAGGAGTCAGTTTCATTTGAAAGAAGTAGGCGTCTCATCCTGGTGTCCAGAATATACATGCCGAAGACTTCTAGTTTAGAGCGTGGATTTATAACAACCTAACAGGTGTGCATTTCACATACCTCGTCAGCCTCTTTCATTTTTTTCAGATATAACTCTTCTCCCATCCTTTCACGAAAAAGTTGGAATCCCATGTTTTCCCCTGTGAGTACAAAGCACAAAAGACAGTCCCGCAGTTATTTCAAAAAGATAGGTTTTAACCGGGTTTTAGGGTTTTATGGTCACCGGTAAATAAATACCATATCCCTTGTTGTTAATTTTCTTTTTATCAACAACGGTCTGCTGAGCTGACCTTGTAGTTAATAAAGACAGGAGATTATTAAAGGAGGCTCTCGACTTGCCACGCCCACCGCATGTCAGCTCATCTTGCGGCCTCGCTATATTTTCACGGCCTTTCCAGGTCCTTTTAAAAAGAGTTATGAGACATTGTTTTACCTCCCAACTCAACTGCGTTTTCCGATTGGAGGAGAACGTGTCACATGTCATGGGTCAAAACTCACTAACTCCCTAGGGGGAACAAAACTCACTAACCCCCTACGGAAACAACTACTTGAACTTTAGACTCGCACGTGATAAGGTTGCGCACGTTAAAACCGCGGCAATTTTTGTGCAAGATGGCTTCAAGCAGATGACGTTTTTGCAGTTTGTTCTATTTTTGAGTTAGGAGGTATAGCAAGACACTTTTAAGTGTCATTAAAATGACTGGCCCCACGGGAAACAGTGAGTTTTGTTTCCCCCTCGATCCTCAATGAGGGTAACGAAAATCACTGTTTTCCTTGGGGCCAGTCATTGAGTACTTAATGTTAAATTGCACAAAAAAAATAAATAAATAAACCAAATGCAACAACGAAATAAACGAATGACTGAATAGCGGGGTCAATGAAATTAAAAAGACACACAAAATGAACACTCGAGAACGAGCATTTTTAATGTATGTTTAAACACTACACTTACAGGGAGTGAGTTCTCTCTTGCTTCCAACAATTGACTTCTTTGTGTGGCCATGCTTCACTTCAAATTTTTTCTTGGAAGTTGTTGCTCCCATATTCCTGGCTATTATGTGTTTGCTCTGAGAAACACAGTAAGAGAGGATAAATTAATGATCAAAAATACTATAAGGTAGCTAACTGAAAAAAAGTTAGTACAAATTTTGAAACGATATCTGGCTGAAACGATTAAAAAATTAAAAAGAATGTTATATTGCGGACAACAATTCATGTCCACTAGCTGGACAATACAACATTCTTTAAACAAACATTCATAATTTGCATTTTTATTTTGCAATTTCACGCATTTTTATTCCATATTTTTCTTTTTCTTCGTTTCTCGTAATTCACATTTTAGCCTTCGAAGTCTGTAGTTCAGGCAGTAGAAAGTTTGTAATTTTTTGATCTTTTCAGCCAGAGATCGTTTTAAAATTTTTACCGTGTTTTATCACTGGCTGTGCTCCTTCAATATTTTCATGAAAAATATTAATTTAAATTTAAGAGAAAAGAAGAAGAAAAGACAAGAGCACTTATGCTCAGAAAGGCACTTAATTACAATGTTACTTGTTTTGTTTACAGCTGAGCAAATTGAATTTGACTCAGCTGTGCCTGCCATACAAGTATTCATCATCCTCTCTTGTGTTTTCATTGTTTCAACAAGAGACTGTGTCTGTCGAGAAATCGACAGCTGATAGCAACTTGTAAAGCTTTGAAATGCTCTTTTATGGAATATTTTCATCCGAAGCCACTACTTCATTGTAGACTGCCTAAGCCAAATTAACTTATAATATAAGCTTAAATTGTTGTTCTTACTATAGGCTATGGTGGTGGAACTGATAGAGTCGCACGGTAAGAATTTTTAGGTCGAATCATAGTTACTGAACTATGGTCGAATCCAGAACAAAATTAGAAAACCACCAGAAACTGTACACATGGGATGTCTCCTTATTCAACAACATTGTAGAAAGTTGTCAAGTTTTAATTTGTTAGACAAAGGCGTTTGAAATCTGCGGACTTTCACGTCGTCAGTTAAAATTGAAGCTGTCGTGTTTAGTTTCGCCAGAGAAGAGTTCTCGGTATGTTTTTTTTTATTTTGTACGATGTTCCCGTTTCATACCGGACGTTTAAGACATTTTTTTTGTCCAGGCGTCGTTTTCAACGTTTGTAACGTAAAAACGGCAATAAGATGCGTCTAGATGACATTTACCCTTCTAGCGTGACTGGCCAATATTGACGAGAAAGTTGATTAAAATGGTGCCGGAAATGGACGGCAAACAAAAACAATCTTTGCCCTGAATAAGTTCGCTCGGATTTAAAGGACCCCTATGAAATCACAAGGTCCCCATCTAGACCTAATAGGCCACCTTCGATATATATTCTGACATGGCTTCGAGGCTTTCAGGACAAGTCTAATTGTAAAAATGTAAATTTAGGAACCAAATAAAGATTGATTGATTGTTGAATTGCAAATTTGTTAAGTTCCTTTTGTCCCTCAATTCCCAAAAGAGACTTGGAGACAAAGAAATCACCACCAAATGTAGACGTTTGTCCTGAAAGCCTCGAGGCCATGTTAGAATATTGGTTCATCAAACGTGGCCTATTAGTAAAAATTCGTCCTAACGAACCTCAAGAGATTTTCAGAGAAAAAGCCCTGAAAACAATTGTCGAACCCGAAGAACTCGAACTAAATTTTGCATCTTACTTGACCTTGTATAGCTCTTCTGACTCTTCTGTTATGACAAATTTTATCAGTATTTGTGAAAGTTGAGATAGAAAGATTGAACTTTACCTCTCTGGCTCTGGAGCTTCAAACCTAGTCCTAATAATAACTATACATTCAGTTCACGGAAGTCTGCAACTTGCCATGACCCAATTTCGAAAGGACCATACGTGCGTGACTGTACTGTAGAAATTCCGCGCATCGAGATGATGGACAGAGACATGGCAGTCGGGGCGGGGCAGAGCAGTAGTTTCTCAGACAATTCAAATCAAATTTCTGAAACGATCTAAAACGATAGGCGGATCAGAATTAAAGAGCAACAGTTTCTTTTGTCTGAATTTAACCTAACATGACCTCTTTAGAACATGCTTATTATTATGCAACATAAAATTTCACCCGGACGCGTAAGGAACCTTTAAAAAAATTAATTTCCATGTGATCATTTGAATTCAGTCCTAGATTTTGATCTTATCCATGACTAATTCTCTATCTCTTTAGGCAGCGTGCCAAACAGTATTCTACCGTATTTCTTACGACGAAAAGGTCCAAATTTCTCTTGACGAAATGACCACAAGCGATAGCATCGAAAAGCATCCCTCACCAAACCGAAACTTAATTGTCTGGGAACGTATTACCGAATTTCGATTTGAACAAAAAACGTAGACTGTTCCTCGTTCCCTTGCTCGCGCGTGCGTGACGTGTCACGTTACATGTTACTGTAGTTCGTGATCATCTGTGGAAGTCCAACAGTTAAGGTCAGCACTTAGTCTGGTTGTTTGTTTCGTCTAGGTTCTCTTCATTTTAACAATTCCTCTCACGTTTCCGCAATCTTTCTGACCTTAGCTAAGGGACTGACCATTGTATTTTTGAGGGGGGAGAGTGTGGGGTGGGGAGGGGGAGGTTGGGCAATTTTCTGGGGCATGATTTTTTTTTTCTTACAGTGGTGTAAGAAAGTTTCGAACTTATAACTTAAGGTATACGCCGATGAAAACACCCTTAATTTTAGCTTTAAGGGCTTATAATTAAGCAGTTATTCTGGTTTATAAAATATGTGGGAGAAGATTCAGATCCGATCGAGGTTGTACTGCGATGTCGCACCCCAGATAACACATGCATAATCAACTTAACAAATTGACGTCATTTTTTATGCGTCTGCCCTCTTATTGATGATAAATTGCGTCATAACATGTGGCTGTGGAACCACGAACCGCGGGCGAGTGGTTCCGCAGTAAACTTTGACAATGTTATGACGAAATTAGACAGTTATTGTAAAAAATAGGTTGGATTAGGGATTTGTAAAACGACTGCCCCGCGCACTGAGGTAAATATGTTTCGATAGCTTTTAGTAGATTAATTCGTTTCAGAACTTCACTACAGACTTCTTCAATGTGTAAATTCCAAGTTAACTGTTCGTCAAGTACAAGACCGAGAAGTTTGTGACTGTCTACACTTTTTATCG